GGGGGGGAAGGGGGGGAAGGATTGGGATTGGGGGGGAGGGGGGAGGCTGGGAAGGGATGTGAAGGGTAAACAAAGAAGGAGGCTGCAATGCTTGGTAAGAAATGTACGCATTATCCTGCCCATGTTATTGTAACTCCTCTGTACAGCATGTTCACAAATAAAAAAAAAAAAAAGATTGGTGACATAATGTGAAGGGCACCTGGGTCACCAATGGAGAAGAGCCATCCAACCTGCATTGGCCTATGACTCAAATGATAACCTTCGTGTTAACCTGTTGAGATTGGGCTATTAGAGATCATGATAGCCCTTAGCATAACACAAATTCACATCTTCCTTAAGCAACTGCCTAATTTCTATGTGTTTTTTTGCCACTCTTCAGATAAGTTGCATGTAAATATATATTATTCTTCAATTCAGCTTTCATCACCACTGTTTTAATAACATAGTTTTTATAAGATCACTAAAGATCTCCTTTTCTTTTCTTAAGATAGTCTCCCTATGGAGCCTAGGTGGGCCTCAAACTTGAGGTCTTCCTGCCTCAGCCTCCTGGTGCTGGAATTACAGGCATTCATAACCACATCCAGTTTAATGACTTCCATTTTAACAAATCTAAAGTTATTTCTTCTCATCTTTTACAGTCTCATAAAGTAGTTCTTAACTCTGTCACCAAAATATCTCACTAAATTTCACTAAATCTTTTTCCTAATCTCCTCTACTCAAATACTGGTTCAACCCACTTTTACTTCTCACACTACTCCAACAGCTTTCTAATTGCTCTGCCTTTACTCTTCTCCCAGGTTAGCATATACTAACATTTTCACACATCAACCACAGCAAACATCTCAACATGTATTCATATATTAATTACATGTTTAAATCCATCTTCTATACTATGGCCTACAAAGGCCTTCATGATCTGATCACTGTTTTACCTCTTTAACCTCATTCAGCTTGTGACCCTAATGACCATCTTCCAGTCCCTAGAAAAGCTCTTTTTATCTCTAGGAGTGAGTGCTTGCTGTTCCTTTGACTGGAATATTCTTTCCTTGAATCTTTCTGTGGATGCTTCCTTCTTACCATAACTTTGCTCAAATGTCACTTCTTCAAAATATCCCTCCCCCTCAGTCACCCATCACATTCTTCACTGTGTGTGTGTGTGTGTGTGTGTCTGTGTATGTATGCATGCGCACCAGCTACTGGACTTCTAGTTTGTTGTTTTTGGTTGTCGGGCTTGAACTCTGAACCTGTGCGCTGTCCCTCAGCTTTTCAGCTAAAGGCTAATGTTCTACCACTTGAGCCACAGCACCACTTACGGCTTTCTGGTGGTTTGTTGGAGATGAGTCTCATGGACTTTCCTGCACCGACTGGCTTTGAACAAGATTCTCAGATCTCTGCCTCTTGAGTAGCTCGGATTATAGGCGTGCGCCACTGGTGCCCAGCTGGACTTCCACTTTTGCTTAACTTTCTTACTCGAGTGGTACTCTAGTACTTGAACCACACCTCCACCATGCCCGTGCTGATTTGTAATCTTGATCTTTACATCTCAGTCTCCTGAGTAGCTGGAGTGCCTGTCCCTTCTTTCTTTTAGAGTTTCAATGTTACAATGTATTTCAAATGAACGGTGGTACTGGCAATCCCAGCATTCAGGATGAAGAAGACTCCAACCTAAGGCCAGTCGGGACTACCTAGGAGAACCTGCTTCAAAAATAAATTTAAAAAATGACTTTATTAGCTAACATGCTTGAGGTCTTTCATTTAAAACATAGCTTTATCAAGACAGAAGTTGGGACTGGAAATTAGCTCAGTGCTTGTCTAGCAAATTTGAAACCCTAAGTTCAGTCCTCAGCAGGTAGGAAATGGATTCTACATACCTGGCCAAAGGGGGTGAAGTGGTTTGTGGGGGCTTCCAACTCACACCTCTAGCCTTAGCCTCTGTCTGGATGGCCTGTGATTCAATGTTTATCCAATAGTAAAAAGGTGGCATACTTTTTTTTTTTTCACATTGTACCTTTTGGGAAGCACATTTGTTGGGACTGGCTGATTTTCCTCAAGGAGGTCCTCCAGTTTCAAACACTTGCCTGGCAGGCTTCTCCCCCTCTTTCATATTTACTTTCAGGCAGTAAAGGTCGGGGGAAAGCATGGAGCTAGATAACTCTACTTTTAAACTGTGCCTTTCCTTTCCAGCATTCTGACCGAGACAAGTTATCTGACTTCTAACCGGATCGGCCCCATCTATGTGCTAGATCAAGCTCACAGGTGCCTACGAGTCAATGAGGGAAACGAAGTTATAGCAGATTTCCTCGTGGTTATCTGCCAAATCCCACGACCGGGCATCCCTTGCAGTGCACGACGCACGAACTCGCAGCGAGGACCTTTGGAGATGAGGACGCTTCAGGACCTCAAATGCGTAAAGCGAACCAAAGCCCAGGCCATGCACGGCAGACGGGTGGAGAGCTTGCGACTGCGGGGGTCCCCCATGCAAATACTCCCAACTGCA